AATTGGAAATCAATAATCTATGAGGGGTAGCCTTTAATTTGGAACTAATTTTCTGTGTGACCTCGATTTGCTCTTTTTTAGTCTCACTTTCCTCACTGAGAAAGAAACGTGATTGAACTAAATGATGTTTATGTTAACAAGCTGCTGGAATGACCAAATGACAGGATTTCCCTGAAACTGTCTTGGTTTTAGCCCTAAAAGTCCCACCTATCAAGAAATTTCTACCCTGGAATGAGAAAATCTCCAGTTTTCTGTCATCTGTAGGGACAGATGGGGGAAAAGGGAAGCTCCCCAAAATAAGGATTGACATTAATACTGTTTTCAGTGTTAAATGGGTAAGGCATAGATTGGATAAGGCCTTCTATGGTTGCTTTTGCCGTTTTGTTCCCTCAATGCTGATGTTGCAACTCTGATCTGTTGTTCACAGTAATGGATCATCCATTGTTGCCTCACCCTGAGTTATGCAAGTCAAGTGTGTGCAATTAAATTCAGTTTATAATTAGCTTGTAGATTAGCTGTTATGCTTTGTATCAAAATAGTGTTAGTTTAACTTTTAACATTGTGAATAATGTTATCATGTTTTATACTATAACTATAATACCAATGCAGCTCCTTACCAGGACATCACTGAAAAAAAAAGGTTAAATTACGGGGTTACTTTAATACTGATGGAAGGGCTCAAAACTGAGATTAGGGAAGTAAATAAAACGATAAATACTGTACAATATGAAGAAAATAATTTTAGATTAGGAATGATGGTGAAGGGGAGATGAAAGCACATAAAGTGATTGAATTTTATAAGTGTAGGGTAAGACAAGTGAGAAAAGGTTTATCTTCCCCCCAAAATAAACATCAATGCTCAGTTAAAAATACTGGGCACTGAATTAACCTGTCATACCACATGAAGGTACACCTTTTATTATATCATCCCTTTCATTGCTCTATGAATCTTAATAAAGTTACATTTTCTGTTTCAGAGGTGGCAATTAAAATGTTGTATAGACAAACAAAGGAGTTTGATATCTGATTTGTTTGTCTCTTAGACTTTAGAGCTGATTCTGTCAGTTTTTACGAACAACTATGCTTTCTGATGAATATCAACTGTTTCCTTGAATTATAGCAAGTCTTCTCTAGCTTATATATACGTTCATTTGGAGTGTGGAGTTTCAACCTTTCATCCTGATTTCTATGAAAATTTAAATGAACAATATAGGAAACATGAACCATAAGATAAAAATTAGACTTTGATCATTTATCTGCATATTTGGGAAGTAGTGCAATGGTAAATATTGATGAATTCCTTTCAGTTTATACACTTCTTACAAAAAATAAATAAATAAAATATCTTATCTAGTAGTAAAGGTATATTTTTGATATATTGATATCCTTTCTTATGGATATATGCCCAGCAGAAGGATTGCTGTATTATATGGTAGTTCTATTTTTAGTTTTTTTGAGGAATCTCCAAATTATTTTTTATAGTGGCTGTACTAATTTCTTAATACATTCCCACCAACAGTGTATGAGGATTCCTTTTACTTGACATCCTCAATATCATCAGCTATTTTTTGTCCTTTTGATAAAAGCCATTTTGACTGGGTTAAGTTATCTATACTCCCATGTTTATGGCAATACTATCCACAATAGCAATGATATAGAGTCAATCTAAGTAAATGTCAATCAAAGGATGAATGGAAAAAGAAAATGTGATGTATATATACACAATGGAATATTATCCAGGCATGGAAAAGGATTGAGATCCTGTAATTCACAACAACATGGAATGAACTGGGGGACTTCATGTCAAGTGAAATAAGCCAGGAACAGAAAGAGAAATCTCACCTGTTCTCACTCATAAATGGGAGCTAAAAATATTGATATCATGGAGATAGAGTAGAATTATGGTTACCCATGTCTGGGAAGGGCGGTGAGGAGGGGAGGAAAGAAATGATGGTTAATGTGTACAAAGATGTAATTACATACTAGAAATAAGATCTAGTGTTCAGTAACAAAATAGGGCAACCATAGTTAAAATAATTTATTGTATATTTCATATATTTCAAAATAACCAGAGAAATGGATTTAGAATATTCCCAAAACAAAGAAATTATAAATGTTTGAGGTGATGAATATCCCAATTACTCTGATTTGTCCATTACATAATGTATGCTTGTATCAACATATTATAAATACATAAGAATATTGTGTAACCAGAAAAATTAAAAAGAAAAAAATAGTTCTTATCCAGTAAATGTTATGTAGGACTTGCCACAGCCCTGCTAAAAAAGGATATAATTTGTTTACCTATGACATTAAGACTTTTGTAACACCATTTTCAACAGATTTAGAAAAAATAATTCTATGCTTTCTATGGAACAAGAGAAGATCCCATATAGCAAGAGCAACCTTAATCAAAACGAACAATTGAGAGGCATCAATTTACCAGACTTTGAGCTATACTAAAAGGCTATAGTAACCAAAACAGCATGTCACAAGCACAAGAACAGAGACACAGACCAATGGATCAGAACAGAGAAGCCACATATAAAATCATCCTCATATTGCCATCGGATCTTTGACAAAACAGAAAAAAAAAAAAAAACATGCACTGGATAAAAGAATCCCTATTCAATAAATGCTGCTGGGATAATTAGCCACAGGTAGAAGACTCAAACAGGATATGCACCTTTCACCACTCATAAAAATTAATTTACTATGGATAACAGACTTAAACCTAAGGGATAAAGCTATAAGAATTCTAGAAGAAAATGTTACAAAAACTCTTATAGACATTGGTCTAGGCAAAGAATTTATGCAGAAGACCCCAAAAGGAATCACAGCAAAAGCAAAAATAAATATATGGGACCTGATGAAATTAAAAAGGTTCTGCACAGCCAAGGAAACAGTCAATAGAGAGAATAGACAGCATACACAACGGGAGAACATAATTGCATGCTATACATCCGATAAAGGACTGAAAACAAGAATCTACAAAGAACTCAAGAAAATCAGCAAGAAAAGATCAAATGACCCCATTAAAAACTGAGTGAAATACATGAATGGAAACTTTTCAAATGAAGATAAACTAATCACCAACCAACATGAAAAAATGCTCATCTCTAATCATTAGGGAAATGTAAACCAAAACTAGAATGAGATAACACATAAGTCCAATGGGAATGGCTCTTATCAAAAAGTCCTAAAACAAAAGATGCTGGCATAGATGCAGAGAGAAAGGAATACTTATACATTGTTGGTGGGAATAGCAAACTAGTACAATCTCTATGGAAAATAGTGTGAAGATACATCAAAGAACTAAATGCAGACCTGCCATTGGATCCAGAAATCCCACTACTTGGTATTTACCCAAAGGAAAAAAAAGACATCTTATAAAAAAGACATTTACACTCAATCTCTATGGAAAATAGTGTGAAGATACATCAAAGAACTAAATGCAGACCTGCCATTGGATCCAGCAATCCCACTACTTGGTATTTACCCAAAGGAAAAAAAAAGACATTTTATAAAAAAGACATTTGCACTCAAATATTTATAGCAGCACAATTCACAATTGCAAAGATGTGGAAAGAACCTAAGTTCCTTCCCATTAGTACATGAGTGGATTAATAAAATGTGGTATATCTATACCATGGAGTATTACTCAGCCATAAAAATCATGGTGAACTAATACCTTTAGCAACAACCTGTATGGAACTGGAGACCATTCTAAGTGAAGTTGCATGAATGGGAAAAAGAAAAAAACACCACATATACTCACTACTAATTGGAACTAATCAATCAACACTTATGTTCACACATGGAAGTAAAACTTGATGGAAATCAAGCAGAAGGAAAGGAAGGGGAGAGGATGGATAAATTCACATCTATCTGGTACAGTGTCCAATATATGGCTGATGGGCACACTTTTGACTTTGACTCAAACTGTACAAAAGCAAATTATGTAACCAAAATGTTTGTAGCCCCATAATATTCTGAAATATAAAATAAATTTAAAAAAGAAATGAAAACAATAATGAAAAATGAGACATTACATCTGATATCACACAAATAGAGCATATCACCCAGGAATACTATGAAAATCTCTACACACATCAACTAGAAAATGTAAAGGAAATGGACAAATTTCTGGAAACACACATCCTCTCCTGACTCAATCAGGAAGAAATAGAATTTCTCAACAGACCAATAATAAACAAAGAAATCAAAGCAGTAATAAATAATATTCCAATAATAAGAAAGCCCCAGGCCAGATGGATTCACAGCTGAATTCTACCAGACCAGCAAAGAAGAGCTTTTACCCATACTACAGAAATTATCCCATAACATAGAGAAAGAAGGAATTCTCCCCAACTCATCCTAGGAAGCCATTATCACCTTGATAGCAAAGTCAAGAAAGGACTCAACAAAAAAAGAAAACTACAGGCCAATATCCCTTATAAATATAAATGCAAATATACTCAATAAAATACTAGCAAACTGAATTGAACAGCACATCAAACGAATAATATACCATGACCAAGTGGGCTTCATCCCAGAGATGCAAATATTCTTCCTTGATTTTATTCCCTTCTCTATCTCATGTGCAACCACTATTCTGCATGTTATGGGAATTATTCCCATGCTTTCTTTTATATTTTATCACACATGTATATACCTTTAAATGACATAATGTTTAATATTTCTTTTTACTTTACATAAGTAGATCATGTAAGTTTTTCTGCAGCCTGTGTTCAACATTATGTTTTTGTTTCCATGTTGATACAAGTATCTGTATTTCATGTGTTTTTTATAATATATATGGTATCCTATTGTAGACTTATAAAATGGTTGTTTTATCCATGAATATTTTAGTTGATTACAGTGTTTTGATTGTACAAACAATTCTCCTGTATTTCTTTACATGGTTGAGGTTGCTAGATAAAATACAAGATGTCGGGAGGTGGGGGGAGCGGTGGAGGCGGGAGTGAACTCTCGCGAGAAGAGGTGGCAGCTGTAGCGGAGCAGTGTGGTTGTGTGTGTCTGCGGATCCGCCGCTCTAACTGCGGACAGTTTGCTAAGCCCGTTAGTGCCCTCGGCCGAGACTCACGCCGCAGTCATGTCCCGCTACCTGCGGCCCCCCAACACGTCTCTGTTTGTCAGGAACGTGGCGGACGACACCAGGTCTGAAGATTTACGGCGTGAATTTGGTCGTTATGGTCCTATAGTTGATGTGTATGTTCCACTTGATTTCTACACTCGCCGTCCAAGAGGATTTGCTTATGTTCAATTTGAGGATGTTCGTGATGCTGAAGATGCTTTGCATAATTTGGACAGAAAATGGATTTGTGGACGTCAAATTGAAATACAGTTTGCACAGGGGGATCGGAAGACACCAAATCAGATGAAAGCCAAGGAAGGAAGGAATGTGTACAGTTCTTCCCGTTATGATGATTATGATAGATACAGACGGTCTAGAAGCCGAAGTTATGAAAGAAGGAGATCAAGAAGTCGGTCTTTTGATTACAACTATAGAAGATCTTATAGTCCTAGAAACAGTAGACCGACTGGAAGACCACGGCGTAGCAGAAGCCATTCCGACAATGATAGACCAAACTGCAGCTGGAATACCCAGTACAGTTCTGCTTACTACACTTGAAGAAAGATCTGAAAGCGGAAAAAGAACCAAAGAAGGGCAGTTCAAGCGACCAAAGGGTGGGTGGAAGGTGCTGCAGTATGAATACTGTACGAATATTTTGACTCTGGTCTGAAAAGATAAAAGAATGTTATCGAAAACTACATGGAATAATTGAAGTCCCTTCAAGTTTGAAAGTAAGCATTTTAGGACAAATAAAAGGAAATTCAACTTTGTACTTGTGGAAACTAATCCCTAAATATGAATAGGTTTATATTGATTCATGGGTAACAGGTCCAAAATAAATTATTGGAAACTAGGATGTCTGGATATCAAGGAAGACAGCCATAGTCTCTTACAGTGCCTCTATTGGTCTGTCTCAAACTGAATTGGGTGGGGAAAGGTGTGGTCCAATATAAACTTCCTTGGTTATCTCTTAAAAGTCAGTTCCATTTTCACCATTATTGGCAAATCTTGCCTTTATATTGGTGCCAGTGTTTTTGCTTAATCGTTTGCTTTGTTGGCATCTGAGTTTACTTGTATGCCACATACAGTTTACATCTTCTTTTACTCTTTCCCAGGTAAATTCCAATTATACTTGACATCCAGCTAAGAGGGCCCATCTCTTCTCAGTTCTTTCCTAGTCAGTATGTTTAGCAAATATTTATTGAGCCCTTACTGTGGGCAAAACATTGTACTGGATAATTGGGGAGAAAAATAGATAATTCCCTTATTCAATAAATGTCTACTGAGCACAATCTAGTGAATCATTACAGTATGGCCTCATTGTTTTGTTTGAGGTGTATTCGTAACAATATTTTACACCATTCGTATCTGTAATTATAAAACCCAATATACTATCAAAAATAATTTTGTGGTTATCTGCCATTTAAAAGTATCCAGTATTTTTCTGTTTGCATCCATTAATACGAATAATGAAAAGATGATGTTTTAATCTGTAATAAACTGGTTTATTGTGCAGTGACTGTAATATACTAGAATTATATTAAATTGTTAGCTCTGCCTCATCAATCACATATTAGGAAATAGTCCCCAAAATAAGTATTTAACTTTGCATTAGATATCAAGGAGACTCTGGGTGCTATAATTAGATTATTTTGAGGCAGACAGAGAGCTGTTGTCCCAGCTGATTTAGTATGTTCTGTAATTGAGAAAATGTTCACCAAATTATACTTTTTAGTGATTTACATGTACATTTTATAGGGGACATGTTCTGTGTATAGTGAATAAATAACTTTTATGGTATCACAAAATGTTTTGGATTCCTTAGTTCCTTACTAGGATATGAATGAAGTCTGTTTACCTATATATTGACTCCATCACATATTTGATTTTTGTCATATTTTTTCCATGTATTTAAAACTGTTCATATAAAATTATTCATCTAAAAGTATGGAAATGGAGTTTAAGCCTTTATAATAATTTTGAAAATATAGCATAAATTAACATAACTTAAGGGAGGTGTAAAATGGAGGTATCTTAATTCCTATTTTATTTAAAAAAATGTTTTTCTTTGGAGACAGGGTCTCACTCTGTTGCCCGGGCTAGATTGCAAGGAAGTCATCATGGCTCACTGCAGCTTCCAGCTCCTGGGCTCAGGCGATCCTCCTGCCTCAGCCTCCCGAGTGGCTGGGACTACAGGCACATACCACAACACCCAGCTATTTTTTTTTCCCTCCTCTTGGTAGAGACAGGATCTCTTTATTGCCCAGGCTGGTCTTAAACTCCTTGGCTCAGTTGATCATCCTACATTGGCCTCCCAAAGTGCTAGGATTACAGGTGTGCACCACTGTCCCTAGCCCTGTTAAAAAATTTTTTTTGAAACTTGCTGAAGATCACACAAGTGACAGATCCTAGGTTAGGGTCCATAATTTTTCACCTGGTTCATCTTTATTGCTGTTTTTTTGTTTTGTTTTTTTAATCAAATGAGAAAATGTTTTTATAGCTTTATTTTCATGGAGATAATAAAATTGATACAGAATCTAGAGTTTACTTAGAGCAAAGATGACTATAGATTTAATTGCAAAAGGTATTTTTGTTTCATGCCTTTACATAATCATTAACATTGAGGTGGTGGTTCTTATGGTTTGAGGTTCTTTGTATTTTTAAAAATAATATGTAGAGTTCATAAATGTTTTGCCCTCTACCTCCTTCCTCCATTTCCTTTTGAATTAAGGTTAAAACGTTCAAGGAGGAAGAATTAAGTTGCATGTTCAATTGAGATTTTGTTCAAAAAATATTGGTGAATACATATAAGGACAATAACAATACTTGATAGTTCTCTAAAGTCTTAATAATATAAATCAGAAAAGGCCCATGTAGTTTTGGCAGCTGTTAAATTAGAATGAACTGCTTTAGGGTGTTTTCTGTGTTTGTTTCCATTTATATTCATTGCTGTCAATATTGACCATTTAATGCCTAAAAACACTCCTGGGAAATGGGTACTATTCTTCCCATTTACAGATGAGAAAATGTCTTTTGCGTAATACCTACCATATGATAGGCTTCCAGATTACATTGTTCATTTCTCACGTTAACACGATAATGGATAACTTTTCTGGGTGAGAAAGAGTAAATGCAACCCAAGGTCTCACAGCTGTTGTGGCTCAGAGACTTTCCAGCCTGGTTTTCTAAATTTTAAATCTCTGGTAGAGATTTTTCCATAGTATTACATTTTAACCATGTTCGTGTTTACAAAGCCTGAGATTGGCATTCTACTAAGAGGAGCATCAAAGGTTTTAGAAATCCCAGGAGTGAAGTGTTCTCATTTTAGATGGTGATGACTTGATAAATAAGGTGAAGTAACCTGTTTGTCTTCAATTACTGACATTTACAAGGCAGTCTGCTAGTCACTATGGAAAAGTTCCTTTTCAGTTTTTTCCCTTGCCCTTTCCTCTCACAGTATTGGTTACTTTTCTTATGTTTGTATTTGTAACAGCTGTTCACCCTTGTATTAAATGATGAGGATTTTTCTTTTTTGGAATAAAAAGCAAGGCATGTAAATTCATTTCATTGAGAATTGACAGTAGTTTGTAAAGAAGTAAAAGGCCTTTGTATCTAGCTCTTTGCAGATCACATTTTTTTGAATGCTGGAGTGTGAAATAAACTGGTCTAGGAGCAAACATATCTTGGGTTTTTTTAGGTTTTGCTCTCTTAGATTTGTGACTACCTGGGCCTATGAGAATGCAACTAAAACACTACGAAGTGTGTGAAACTTATCCAAAACTCTTCAATTTTTTCCCACCTTGTGCTTGTTTAGGGGAAGACAACTTATCAGAATTAAGTTTGAGGATAGGTTATGATCTGGATTCCATTATCCTATACACTGCCATCAAAAAGATAAGACAAATTGAAGTTGCAGCATTTATTGAAGGCTCACAGTATGGCTGATTTGAGCAGCCCTACATGATAGGTTCTCTGTACCAGCTACTTAAACTCCTGTTACCATACTTTTCTGTAGGCTAACCACAACCCTACTGGTATCTTTCTATTATGAGATGTTTATATCCTGAACCCTTTATTCAGGTTACCCTTAAGCTATTATCATTTTTATAAGTAATCAAGAGCCTTGGCCAGGTGTGGTAGCTCACACCTGCAATCCTAGCCCTCTGGGAGGCTGAGGCAGAATTGCTTGAGCTCAGGAGTTTGGAGACCAGCCTGTGTAAGAACAAGACCTCATCTCCACTAAAATTAGAAAATTAGGAGGTTGCCTGTGGTCCCAGCTGCTCGGGAGGCTGAGGCAGGAGTATGTCTTGAGCCCAGGAGTTTGAGGTTGCTGTGAGAGATGATCATGCTACCTGGGGTTGAGAGTGAGACTGTCTCAAAAAAAAAAAAGCCTTTTCCATTCCCACCCTCCATTCTGTGATCACTTTTACCCATCGAGTCAATCCCAAACCAAAAATTTCAGTGTACAGATCAAAAACTAACAATGCCTAAATTGGGAACTGTTCAATCCAGTGAAATTCCAGTGCAAATTAAAGAATTTGGCAATCCTTGGTATTGTTGTTCATAGAAATATCACTGGAAACCTAACAGGAAAAAAATGAAGACCTAAATGTTGGTTGTACCCTACCTTCAAATCAATCGTGTCCTACAGTTTGCATGAAAAAAAAAATACAGCCTTGCAATGGGATTACTAATGTAGAATTTAAGGAATTATTCTTGAACTAGTATAAGCTGCCCTTATTTGGAACCTATTAGAAAGTGTGCGGTGGTTGTGATGCTTTTCTTCCAAAGGTCCCCTTGTGTAGAGTATACTTTCATTTATCAAATATTTAAAACACAGGGTTCTTGAGGACTTTTTCTGTGATTTTCCTAGTACCTAAGTCATTTTAGAATGTAGAAAAAATAATAATTAAAACCCTGCTTTACTCGACTTTCAAAAGCTTTGTGAAATTTTGCGAGTGTGGTCTTTTTTTTAAACTGTTGGTACTACTGGGAGGGGAGCCCCAGGTAGTTGCCTAATTGTATAGCTGTCAAACTAATCCAAATACCTTCTTTACCAGCAAATTATTTGCCTCTTTTCAAACCAACAGTCTTAATCACATTTTAAATTATGAGTATTGTAAGAATATTAGGCAATTATAACAATCTTTTAAATAAAAACAAGCCACTGGGGAGAAAAAAAAAATACAAGATGTCCAGTTAAATTTAAATTTCAGATAAACATCATAAAATTTTAGTATGTTACTAATATCCCATAATTCATATATATATACTATTTTTTATTATTTATTTTAAATTCAAATTTAACTGGTAGTCCCATATTATGATTTGCTAAATCTGGCAACACTATTCATGGTGCAAATTTTCAGGAAGTTAACTAGGATATTTACCTAATGGTGTAATTGTTATGTCATGGGAAATAAGCATGTTTAATTAATTTCCTAATTGGTTGAATTGATTTGCATATTCATTTATAGTTGTATTAGAGCTATGATCACCTTATATTTTCACTAATATACAGAATTAGCAGACTTTTTGAAGTTACCAAATTCACAAATGTAAAATTATACATCATTGTGGTTTTAATTTTAATTTCCCACATCACTAATGAAGTTGAGTATATTTTCAAATGACTGTGGATCCTTTCGATTTCTTCTGTGAAATATTCATTCATGTGTTATGCCTCTTTTTTTCTATTGTGTATTTTGTCATTTTGAGAATTTGAAAAATTTATCATATATTTTGAATACTAAAACATTGTGAGTTTTATATTTTACATATATGGGCTCCCAGTTTGTGGCTTTTCTTTTGAAATTAACATTAATTTTTGTTGATCATATATGTATAGATGGGATTCTGGAATCTTAATGCCATTGCTTTCATCATCTATCCCTAAGCCAAAACATATGATCTTAATTATTATAGCTCTATAAAAATAGTGGATTATCTTGTAGGGCATTTCTCTCAATTTTTTTTGGGAATTGACATAAGGATAAATAGATGATGAATTTTTAATGTTCCACATGTGTTTAAAATAAACATTATCCAGTTGTTGGGTGTTATGTTCTATATATGTCCACTGGATAAAGCATGCTATTGATGCTATTCAAATTGTCCATATATTTACTGATATTTTTTCTGCTTAATCCACCAACTAGAGAAGCATGTTAAAATTTTTCCATATGATGTGGGATTTGCGAAATTTTGTCCTTTATGATTGCTCAATGTTACTTTCAGAATTTTTCCAAAACTAGTTTTACTAGGTTCTATCAATTTTATAATTATCAAATCTCCATAATAAATT